ACATAAAGTAATAAATCCTTTTTTCGCCCCCCCCCCCCGGAAAGATTTCTAGCGACATCCATGTTAATCGTATGACGTATAGAAGGTATACATAAGAAGGTACACAGCTCTTAGAAAATTGCTGAAGAGTGGATGACACATACGTGCCCGATATCGGACCAGGTCACTGAAGTGTGAATATTTTGCTCTAGTATGAAGCTAACCCGCGGACGTAACATGCTATGAAGATAAATGTCCACCGAGATGCGAAGGCGAGTACTTACATACCCATCCATAAAATCCTGCAGCTTCGTATTTCAGAAAACTGTCGTCTTCATGGGCTATTAATCGCCGACATAACCTCAAACTTCATGTAAAATTCCATTAATTTCTAAACAGTTCAAAATAATTCCGTTTTAATCCTTACACAGAATTCAAAGACACTAATCGTATTAATTTAATAATATAATTTCGTCGAATTTCACATCACACATTAAGTGAAACTTGTTTTCTTATACGAAGAATGAGAACTTCACAACAGAAGTCTGTTGTGGTGGCTACAGTTACCTGATCCCATGCGGAACTCCTAATCACGTCCGATTCTCTGCGCTGATACACGCTTACTAATGTTTCTGCCAGGCTGACGACTCCTGCTGCAGAGGCAGCGGCCAGGTTTATCTGAATGACATCCCCCCATTCCTTTTTATACACATTGCTAATACGTCACTTGTCTCGACAATTGTTATTAATAAAATTACACTCCCCCACTCGTAACTAAACGTTTTTTTTATCACGTCTGTTGCCATAATGACATAATAATGAACAGGCAGAGGTGGCTGGGTTGAAAACCTTGAATGAATCAATTTGGTGGGGAGGACAGGTTCAGTGAAAAGAAATACTTACTTTTCGTTTTGTTTTGCTTCTTTCGTTATTTACGTCTCCTTTTAGCCTAATTTTCTTTCCTAATGAATGAAAGCAAGCCGGTTACGGTAGCCGAGCGGTCTAAGGCATGTACTGTCTTCGCTCGCTTGGAAACCGGGATCGTGGGTTCGAATCCCACTCAGGGCATGGATGTTTAGTTTGTGTGTGTGCGTTTTTCTGTGTTTGTGTACAGGTAGAGCCCTTGCGACGAGCTGATCACCCGCCCAAGGAGTCCTACCGAATGTGTAAGATCTAGAAAAACCAAAGTGAACGGAAAAGTTCATGGAGGTAGGCCTAGGCCCACTGGGGCTGTAGTGCCAAGGAAAAAAAAATGAACGAAAGCAAGTTTATGTTATCACTAATCTCTCTCTCTCTCTCTCTCTCTGAACCTGTCTGTCTCATCCCATTTTAACTTCTTAATCAGTTAAGCGACTTTCACAAAATTTCGTATGAAGGTTATACTACTGATGGACACCCGGATAATGCAAAATAATGAAATGGCAAACGCAAAGAAATGTGAAGTAAGAGTCGAAATGTTTATGAGGAATGTTTCTTTCTAAACTGATGCATAATCGCCTATCGTCATGGCCGGAGAAGGACATAATTCCACCCCAGGTGGCCATANAAACCCCCCCCCCCCGCAAACTAAGAACAGACCAACTATCTCAAAACTTCGTCACAATAACACAGACTTTCCAGACATTGTTCGGAAAACCGTCATTGGTGTCCTAATCCTTTAAACAGTTTTACTTACACTGCTGCATAACATGTTTAGAATACCGCTAATGAAATGATATCAACAAAAATAAAAGATACAGAGAAATTTGCTTGTGAAATGAGCCCCCCTGAAATCGCTCCGCCCCACGGGATGGCTGTTTCTTCTGTGCAGTTGCATCGGCCCTAAATACTGGACATCTCTCGTTGCGGCTACGTAAACACGACGTTTCGGAAGCTAGCTGATGGCGAAATAAAAGTCACCGTTTCACATTGTGGGGGTGTTTATACATATATTATGTGGAAAGACAGGATTGCGAGTCGGTATAGCGACTTGCTACGGACTGGATGACCGAGGGGTCGGAGTTCGAGTCCCGGTAGGATCAAAAATTTTCTCCTCTCCACCTCATCCAGACCGGTTCTGGAGCCCATCCAGCCTCCTATCCAATGGATACCGGGGGGGGGGTCTTTCCCCGGGGGTAAAGCGGCCGGGGCGTGAACCTGACCACTCACCTCCAACTAGTGCCGAGGTCAAGAAAAGTGGATCTATACATCCACTCCCCCATACGCCATCATGGCCTAGTGCTTAATTAGATAAGCACGGGAACAACTTTACTTTCCCTTTTTCTTTCCAAATAGCCCCATAAAATGCACGATCGGACAGACGCGTTGGACATGAAGTAGAATCTATAAGTCTTCTGTGGTCTTCCAGGGCTGAACCAATAACCACTTTTCTTGTTAAAGCTAAAATTCATATTTGTCTACGAAATTTCTGCAGTATGTTTATTAGATTTATTTGTTAGTAGAATGTATAAGTAAAATGTTTAGCAGGAAGATTTTACCATTTCCATCCCTAGGCATGCAGCCACGCATAATTTTCGATTGACTCTCTGACACACTGAAACCATGATTCCACTAAATACTGACTGGACTTGAAAAATTATCAATAGAAGGCTTAATAATAATAATAATAATAATAATAATAATAATAATAATCATAAGTATATATTACTGTCTCATCATCAAAATGCAGGGCAAATCATGACATAAAGATAGGAAACAGATGATTTGAAAATGTGGCACAGTTCAGATATTTGGGAACAACGATAATAGATTGAAACCTGATTCAGGAGGAAATTAAGAGGCGATTGAACTCGGGTAATGCTTTCTACCATTCAGTCCAGAACCTTTTGTCTTCTCGTCTGTTGTCTAAAAACATAAAAGTTAGAATATACAAAACCATAATTTTGCCTGTGGTTCTGTATTGTAACCGTTCCATTGCTACGTAACTTTCTTTTATGTAATCAACTTTATAAATTTGAAAGCTTAATTGTTTAAAATGAAATGCAGTGAACAAGGGTAGTGAAACATGGTCAATTCTTGTATGTAAGAGAAAGCGATTTCTCAAGCTTACAACAAGAGACAGGAAGACACCCTTCAAAGGTTTATTAGTGAGAGCTGCGTTAAAGAATAAGGTAAAGAAATCTTTTGTAAATTCGATACTTGGCAGTTGGTGCATGCCATAACTTAAAAAGAGTGAAGTTTTTAGGGCCCAAGCGACGCTTAAGCATTTGTCACTTTCTGACAGAAATACGTTGGAGTCAAAAATCCTTAAACGCTTGTAAGCTTTAAGCGGAGTGGAGGAATATCTAATTAAGATACTCCTATTTTTCAAAATTAGCCAATCACTAAAATTTAAGGGTGTGACAGAGCAGTGACGCTGGTGAAAGCAGGAATTGAAGGTTTGAGGAAGCGTCATGTTTTAGCATCATTCTGCAAACGGGAGTAGGAGGAATCAGACGTAAATTCGGAAACCAGGGGTTGTGAGTAACAGACGTAAATTCGGAAACCGGGAGGTGATAGAAACAGATGTAAATTCGGAAACTGGGAGTCGTTAGAATTAGCAGCAAAAGTTATACAACGGGCTCAGAAACAGTTAAACATAAAGGTTACTGACATNTGTATCAAAAGTGGTTAAACAAGTGTTCAATATAATTCGTCCAAACTTGAGAAGTGCTTGTGATTTGTTGTGTTTAATTTATTCCTTTTCTGAGTTGTGGCCCGTTCAAGGCTCTGAGATAAGAGGTACTCAGCTCTACCAAATCAACAAAACCCCCTCCCTTAAAAACCCTGAGATAAATTTAGCAACAAGAAAGAAGAACCTACTAGTGGCGATCCAGCGTGTGTGTGAGAAAGAAGGAAGAAGAGTTAGCAAGGAGGTGGAGAAAAGGGTGGTAAGAGAGAGGTGACGCCCAAAGTGTGAGCAACAAGCAAGGAGAAGAAGAAGGGCGGTAAGAGTATGGGTGTGACTCTTGGTCTCTGACATTAAGGGAGGAACATAGATTGAGGGTGTTTGAGAACAGGCTGTTAAGGAAAATGTTTGGACCGAAGAGGGATGAAGTGACAGGAAGTTGGAGAAAACTGCATAATGAGGAGCTTCATAACTTGTACTCTTCTCCAAGTATAATTAGAATGATCAAGTCAAGGAGAATGAGGTGGGCAGGTCATGTAGCACGAATGGGGGAGACGAGGAATGCGTATAGGATATTGGTGGGAAAGCCGGAAGGAAAGAGTCAACGGGGACGACCAAGGCGTAGGTGGGTGGACAGTATTAGAATGGATCTTAGAGAGATAGGATGGGATGGGATGGATTGGATTGATCTGGCTCAGAATAGGGACCGGTGAAGGGCTGTTGTGAACACGGTAATGAACCTTCGGGTTCCATAAAATGCTGGGAAATTCTTGAGTAGCTGCAGAATTGGCGGCTCCTCAAGAAGGGCTCAGCTCCATGAGTAAGTAAGTAAATCACAATAATAGTTTAGATGTACCTTCGCCCGGCAAAGTTCGACACTGTAATTCCAACTTAAATTCTGCCGTGTCTTACGCCCTTTTGACTGCCAGACACGCATAAGTATGTTTAATGGCATGTAATTTAGGGCCGAAGACATCGTTCATTAGTTTAGATGCGAAATGTGGGAAGGGCTAACATGTCCCTGTAACCCTTCAAATCCCAGTGGTTACTATATATACCACAAGTTTTAATATACCTAAACTTTGCATTCTGCTCATAGAATGTACGTATTTGTGCGTTCCGCACGGTTCTTGCAATAAACAGCTATTGTTTCCCCAAACACCATTAACCGGTTCGGCTCTGTAGCGGAGACGTAATGTTTCTTCTGAGGTACGGACTGAATTGTTATATATTGCTTAGACGAAACTCATGAGAAGAATTTGTATGACTTCCAGAGTCCTGAGACAGTAAAATACGATCATGAGTCCCGAGGGACTAGAAATCAAGAATGACTGTACTGGCGAAAACCAGGAGCAATTTACTTGGCCGATCAGTTTTTAAATAATACAAATATAAACAATGTATAACAATTCAGCTCGTACCTCACAGAAAATATATTCTGTGTACATGATTTAATTAAACATGTACAAAGAACGTAGGAGAAATATAAGTCGTTATAAATTGTAATTTATATATTTATGTTAAGTTTATTTAACAATGCTCTCAGCAATGAAGACATGCGGAGAGTTAGCGCATTGTGACGTCATCTTCTAGGGCACTGTCATGACTTCAGCCTTGACTCAGTGCCGCTCCTGAGTAATCTGTTTGAGGTCAATTAGTTGCCACGCGGTTGGCAACAACTAGAGCGTGTCCATTCTGCGTTCTTTCCCGCCACGCACCGTCTGCTCCTTTCGGGGAAACAGTCCTACAGAATTCGAGGTTCTTCTGGGACTTTTGATCATATATCTCATTTAAGTCCGTTGTTTAACGAGGCTGTCAGCATCGAGACTCTACAGTGTCGACAACAGGAGTGGTAAAGAATGTGGAGACGTTGGTGGAACGATAATTGGCAGGGTAAACCGAAAGACACGGAAACAAATTCGCCCCAGTGTCATTCTATCTATCTACGGCTCTACAGCCCTTGTGGACCTTGGCCGCTTTTTATTCAGTTTCTTAATCATATACACATTCGGTAGGACTCCTTCGACGGGGGATCAGCCCGTCGGAAGGCAGCTA